TAACTTGTTTTTTTTTTGTTAAATAATAATAACATCTATGGATTTTAATAAACATAACTTAATTTTTTTCTTCTTAATTTGCACATCCTCTTTTCCCACTAGTATTTATAATACGTGCCCCACATGCTTTGTTGATTAAGATAACGTCAAACAGCTCCGCTAAAATTTCTAGAAATGTTACTTACTTTGCATACCTCCATTACAGTGTGATGGGACCGGTAGTCCCCATCAAAAGTAGCAAATCGACAACATTACCGTCGCAATCAAAATAATTGGTTTATGCAAAGAAAAAACAAAAAATGAAGATAAAAAGAATTATTTTTGCAGAAAGAAAAAGAAAAAGAAAAAGGAAAAAACTGAATTGAAAATCACCAAAATTCCATCACAAGATTGTACCATATTTGGCGCCATCAACTGTAGAAGTTAGAATTTGCACCAGCAATGCCTCAAAAATTTTGTGAACGGTGCAGAGTCCGGTCATTTTTGTATAGTGAAGAGCGATTTCAATTATTTTGATACTTTTTTCCCCTTTGTGTTGTACAATTGCCTTCTTATCGTTTGCTATTTGCCTCATCGCCTTCATGCTCTTTGAAGAAATAGCATCTAACACAACTAAAATACAGCTTATATGGCTTCATTTCTCTTTCGAAAGTTCTTTCTATCACTTTGCATTTTGCATCCAAAATATCAATTGTTCATGCTGAATGATATGTTGTTTTGATTTATAAGATGGCCTCGAATGCTTGAACTTGCCATATTCAGCTACGCTACTTTACCTTAGTTTGCTCTTACGTACTTTGCATAGTTTGCTACAGCTTTTTGGCCTTCTATTGCTACCTTTCTCAGTGTCATGTTGCAAAAGAAGCCATTGCGATAATGATCTTCTAATTGGTCCAATGTTGCACATTTACATTTTATTGCACTTACACCCTCTCAAATATTTTCCTTTAGCTTCCAGCCGTTTTTTTCAATATAATTGATGTTGAAAATTTATAAATTGGACAACATAAGTGCGATTATGCAAAATAAGCCTTCATCTCTCGTCTCATTTACATTTTTTTATTAATGTTACTATTTGTAAAGAATTAATCTTCTATACAATGATAGCTTATACACTATCACTATTGAATTGATGACAAGCAATCTAAATTCGAATTTGAATTTCAAAATTTTGCATATGAGTCGTGCATGTAACTGTGATAGTGTATATGCTATCAATGTGTATAAGATTAATTCTCTTTTAAAAGGGATTGGCAATGCTATGAAAACGTGCTTTCAAGAGAGATAAGTGAGATTGTTGAAATCTCAAAATACTCTATGTATATTTAGAAACCGCAGGAGAAGCTTCTAAAATTGTCCGTTGTTGATTTTCCCTGTTTAACTTTTTTTTTTTTTGTTGCAAAAATAGGATTCCTATAATCTAATTTAGCCTAATCTAGGAGGAGGGGGACTCAATGTGAATAGAGACTCTATTGAAGAAAGTCAATTAAAACCGCCACATATAATGACAAATTGGTGTGAGATAAAGATTAAATTCTTGATTTCACACGTCATCAAGTTAGTCTTGGATGATGACCACCAGGCCAAAGGCCTAGTGGCCCCCTGTTTAACTAAGTATGATCAAAGAAATAGCATATGGGCTTGATTGACAAGGGTCCATCGGTCAAGTACTGGACAAACCTATTAAAATATATATATTTGATTTTCATGTTCCATAAATGTAAAACGCGTACAGTATTAATTAATTGCCTCGGGCCACATCTACTACAAGGACGTTCCAAAGCTATACGTCTAAATTCTATGTCCTTTGTTATTCAAGAATTATACTACCAAATGTTTTTAACTGTTGATTTATTTTTTTTTATATGTAAATAGGAATTTTTGAATTCAAGATCTTTTACCGCCCATTTACAATCTTTTCTATCTTATTGTCCAATCCAACTCCCAAATGTATAATGACGTTCTTAGAGCAAATTGTAGTAGGACAAAATGGTTGAGGCTATAAGGATGTTTTGACACATTTTCATAATGTTGTTGCAATTATGGCCTTGTTCTCATATGCTCTAGATTTTGCAAAAGTTAATCATCAAAAGTGATATCAAAGAATAATCAGAATCAATTAAAACTATTCTTTGGTACATTTAGATTTTAACTTCTTTTTGTTAATAATAAAATTAAATTCCAGACACAAAGCAAATGAGAATATCAAAAAAATTAATTATTCAAAATCATAATGTATAATCAGTAGAAATTATCAAATGAAAACAAGTCCTATATATGCCCTTTGTAAGACTTTTGTGACTTTACAAACCTAAATTCCGAGTAAACCTAAAAAGCCGGCAACTCTTGAGATTTCTCAGGAGACTTATAAACCCACCCAAATCCCCCCCCAGCCCCGATTTGAGATAACCATCTAAGGGGGGCAGCTGCTACTAAGACCTAAAGAGACCCCACTAACCCCGGTCCAGGCGATTGTCTTTTTTGCCAAAGCCTTTCGTAAGACTTTTATGACTTTACAAACCTAAACCCCTATATATGAAAAAGGGAAAAAATATTAGCTATACATTTAAAGTCTGATATTAAAAGAAGGGAAATGTTTATTTACATTCCATTTTTGTTATTTGCACTCTCACTATCATTCTAATTATATAATTTTTATTTATTAGATTATATAGTAAAATAAATGATGAGAGTGCAAATAATAAAAAATGAAATGCAAATAACATTTTTCAAAAAAAAAAAAAAAGGTACCTATCAAAACAATTGTTGATAACCTATAGTACACTTTGGACTTGTCAAAAGTTGACCATGTAGTCTTCATCCAGAACCAGACTGTACTGGATGCGGGGCCCCCTATCCTAATACTGAGCTTCCTATTTAATTGTGGGCCTCAACAGCTCACAATCAACGACAATTTCTTATTTATTTGAGGTGTTGGACTTTTCCAAGATGGATAGTTAGTCTAATAAGTACACATGAGACTTGAATTTTATCTGATCATTTTTACCAAGCATTCAAATAGATCAAAATCTTGTCCTTTTGTATAGATCAGTATACAAGTTGCTGTTGTCTTGCATGGAATTTAGCCAGCAGCAAGCGTAAAAAAGAAACAACCACTTGCGTGTTCTTGGAAGTTCTTGCCTACGCAGAAACACGCACACACGCACTAGGGTGGCTGGCTTCCATTGTTCCTTTATTCCAAAATGAGCTAGTGCCCTCTTGACTTTTTAATACTTTGCCTAAGATGCTCTTGGCAAATTGTTAAGGCCCTCTTTGAAATTGCAGTGCGTTTGATAAAAAAAAAGTATTTTTGAAAGATAAAATCACTTTTAATGTGTTTGACCACGAGTTCGATCCCTCTCATTTTTATTTAAAAAAAAAATAACACGTTCGGTGAGTATCATATCTAAAATTTTGGAGTAGAGTTTTTTATCATTGAAGCGCTTTTGGCATTAATACCAAATTACTGCTTTTAGAGCAACTTATCTGTTTCAAAAAATAAAAATAAAATTAACTTTAGCAATTTTATTATAAAATTTGAACTAAATGAAAAGATAAATATGCTTTATAATTTCAAAATTACATATTATCAAATAAATAAAATATTTTGACAAAAACAATAATACTAATTAAAGTGCTTCCCGTAAGCCATCGCATCTCTAAATGGGCTCTAAGTAAATTGGGACAATGCATTTTGCCAAAAGGAAGATTAGCGAGAAATTTGGGCTTAATTTCTATGCCCTCCACCCCGGATTATCTTGTTTCAAGTAACTAAGTTTTTAAAAAACTTGGCCATTCAACTTAACAAAATTGATTTTTGTTAAAAAAAAAAAAAAAAATTGGGCATTCTATACCTGTCACTCGGATTGTAGAGGATCTATGATACGTAAGCATAATTACTCCGTGTCGGAATTTTTGCCCCACCGCCTATCATAAATGACCCAGACTTGTAATTGGGCTTGTCGGCCATTGGCACCGGCAAGGGCTAGAGAGCCTATCAAACTTGGTAGCGGCTGCCCAGGACCGACAGAGGTAAGATTCATGGTTTACCAAAATACTACTAATAGAAAGCCAAGACCTGGCCATAATAGAATGTTATAGGTCAACCGATGTAAGATGTGTTTTCTAGGTTCCCTTCTCATAATCATTATGGGATATCCCAGAATGCTGTAAAGGATTTAGCTCATAAACCGGATCAGAGAGTGACTTTAACAAATTAAAATTAAATTTTTAACGTAAAATATTAAAGATTTAATAAGCATGAAAATTTAAATTTATATAGCATGGTTTTTTTTTTTTTAACAGACGGCAACAGTTAGTCTAACTTAGACCTACTCTTACTCTAACCTACACTAGAGGAGGAGAGGTCCAACGGGATTTGGAGAAACTGACGAGAATGGATTTAGAAGATGCCATACGTGACATATTGATGGAAGGTAAGATTTGAATTCTTGATCTTTCACTCTACCAAAACTTAAAGTTTTTTATGGTGGCCAACAGTCTAAAGTGACCAATGGGTACACTACGATTTTTAGATATACAATTTTTTAAGGGAGAAAAACTTTTTTTTTTTTTTTTGGAAACATGGGGGCGGTGGACCCTCCCCATCCTGCATAATTCCGTCTATGATTTTGGCTTCAAGTTCAAGAAACAACCTTTTATTTTGCTGAAATGTTGAACTCTCTGCACTCGAGTGGGACCAATGAGGAGCAGGAGTAGGAGTAGGGTAGTGATGAACAAATTAAATTTCACCTTAATCGAAAACAGTTTTGCATTTTAGCTCTGAACTCTGAAGTCTGATAGATATTAGAGAGACTCTGAAATTAAGAATTGGTTGATTGATCATGTCAATTTCGAAGAAGGTTCTGAAAAGGAATAATCTAAATCTCCATCCTGTCCATTCTGCCTGCTGTGTTTTCATCAATTGAATTCAAAATGAATACAGGGAGTCCAAATACAGCAATTGCAATGAATGGAGCAGAAACATGCAGGCACAATTTGAGTAAATTTCGAACCAATTCATCATCATTTCTAATTACGTACATCGTTGACCAAAAACAGAAAAGACGAAGAAGAAACTTCAAAAATTAGAAATTGAGTGCATTGGTCATCCTCCTTTGGGGATTCCATGGGCTAACTGATCATGTTCCTCAGGGATCCTATATACAAAAAAAAAAGCTAAATTAATTAACCAAATAAAAACTAATTTCTAGAGTAGGGATTTAGCTGGAAGGTCTTGCTGCTGATCTTCAAGCTCCTCCAACGGAAGCCTATTAACAAATTTATCTAATGCTTCTTTCATCCACCAATGCTTACAAACTTCTCTAGCTTCAGCCACTGTCATCTGCATTCATCAGAACAAACTCTGTAAGTACTGAAACTGTTTAGCACTAAGTATTTACATGACTATTTCAAGAAATATATGCAGGTGTATATGACTAGTGTTTTGTAGTTCGATTATAGCAATTATAAGTGGCCAAAATCTTGTATATACTTGAACAATTACGAGAATTATATATAAAAAAATGCCATAGCAAGACAGATTTTAATTATTTTTCAACTATTTTATCTATAAATCATGCTGGAAAATGGCATGAATGAGGTAGAGGTTTCTGAGCAGTTGCTTTTCAAGATTTTGTAATTGCCAAAAGAAGAAGTCTAAAGAGTGGTCAATGAGGTGCTGCTTACCCATACTCTTTTCCGGACATTTTGTTCAGGCCATAGGTCAAGTTGTTCTGTGACCAGCAAAGGAAACATGTAACCTTCATGGTAGGTTCCTTGGCTTTTGCTCTTGAATCTCCATATACCTAATTCATCCTGCAATATTGAATATCATCGATTTAATATCTATTCAAGAAATAATCCAGTCCAGATAATCTTTTATTTTCGTTTTTTTGCAGATTAATTAAGATGTACTTAATTAATACTAAACCAGGCCAAAGTGACTTATGGAATGAAGTTTATAATATATCGTCATGAAGGCTTTACTAGGTACTAACCTCAACATTTCCAAGAACACCAGCTTCTTCGAGTGATTCCCGACAGGCAGCTTCAATTAGGGATTCATCAAGTTCCCAACCTCCCTGGTTTTTCACATTGTCAAATACATTAGTTCAATAATCATCATGTCAAAAATACTCATCTACAAGATTTTATGATCAGATTATAGTTCTTCGATATACCAACTTAAATTAATGAAATCAACAAGGTCTTGCATTTATTTCTTGTTATTACCTTGGGAAACATCATCCCTTGACCATTTTGTGAACTGATAACAAGGACCTCTACTTGATTGTTCACCTTATCTTTTTCTTGCCCCTTAAATCTATACGGGATACACCTGCAAATAGAAATCATGTCAACAAACTAGTTCCAGTCATGAGCCACACAGCAATTTGTAACAAATAATGATTTTTTTTTTAGAGAAAAGAAGCTGCACATAAACACAGCTAGAAGATTTTTCTTCGATATTATTTACTTCTGTTTTCCCATTTACAAGCCCTTTAGAACGTGAAAAGTTACAACCATTGAAAAACATCGACAAATAAGAGAGGCCAAATGATCATACCCAACAACGAGACGACGACCTTTGTCGTTGTACCTCTGCAAATGCCTTCCCGTTCGAGAAACCAAACAAACCATCTGATCAATTTTTCCGAGTTACCGTAAATCTTGCAATCAAATATGAGCAAAGAACTAAGGAAAATATGCTACCCAATTGCTCGAGAAATGTGGGCTAAAGAGATTCTGAAAACATGCACGTTACAAAATATTATTGACAATACGCAAGAAAGCCACCAGCAAAATCATCTGTATGTACATATAAGTGGGGAGATAAAAAGGGATGGAAATTGGATAAGAAAGAAGACCAAGTTGGGTATTTATTCCCTTCGATGCTAAGAAATGTTCAAGAAGAAGAAAGACTGGATCAAAATGGTGGGCGTTTCAGCTGTGCCTAGGGTTATTAAGAAGGGGAAAGAAAGTGTTTTGTTTTGGTTGAAGAAAGAATGGATCAAAATGGTGGGCGTTTCAGCTGTGCCTAGGATTATTAAGAAGAGGAAAGAAAGCGTCTGTTTTGGTTATTGGTGTGGTCTAAGATACACGGTGGAAGCGTGGACATAAAGGAACCCAAGAGGAACCCTTCCATTTATAAACACAGACCGCGTCATGACTCGCGTCTCCATCCCCAAACAGGATCCGATCCGTTCAAGTCGCATTCTCTATGCTTCTTTGTTGTTTCTCCTAACAACTATTTATTAGTTGTTTTTTAGCTTGCCTCAACCGACGACAGAAGGTTTTGCAGTAGTTTCGCGTTCTTTTTCTCTTCTTGAATGCTGACTCCAAACTCTTACAAGAGAGAACAGCAAAAGGTAAAAAGGAATATCGAAAAGATAATCACCCAACTAATCTTTGTAATAAGTCTACGGTAAAAAGTAAAAAGGAAGATCGAAAAGACAATCACCCAACTAATCATCATAACAGCTAGACCTACAATCGTGTTAGTATACCATTTTTTTTTATACAATTATAATTTTTGTTAGTATTGAATCAATACCATTGATCCACAATATTTATTCAATGTGTATTATTGAGTAACTTATTTATACCTATATGCAAATACTTAAAATACTCATACTCATCTATTCATGAACGGATATATGTAAATTTAGTTAAATGAATTTATTTGCCACCTATAGTATTGATCTGCAATATTCACCTAACAACTTATACCAACGAACAATATGGAACCCTATTTTGGATTGTGGACTACATACGCTCCAACTTAATTATGCATCTAATTTTGTCCTTTTGTTTCATAGAGTTTGCGAATTCTCTATTTTGGTTCTTTAATTCCCTAGTTATTTCTCATCCCAAAATGCCAACAAACATAATTTCAAAAAAGTTTACACAAAGCCAAATGCATATATAAAGTATGATATGGATGCCTGTTATTTTGAACTTACATGCAGGTGTTAGTATATAGCCATAATATTTTATTCCGAGCTATTATTCTAGTTAATTGGTGTGATCCAAAATTAAAAAAAAAAAATTGATCAAATTTTATTAGTTCACATTCGTAAACCCTTGGATTCAATGTCATGAAGGTAATGTTTTTGGAACAATGTGATAGATTCAATGGATACCTCAGACACTCTTGCTTCCGCGGTTGTCCTTTTACGATGGCAGCTGTTGTATTGTTTATTCATTGGGTCAATATCGTATTGTTATTGTAATCGCATTAAATGGTGTTCTCGTTTCAATTAAACTGTTCATATTCCCATATGGTCAATTTAAGAATAACGTGTGGTACTTAACTAAGTATTTGTTATCCAACAGCAAAAAATGCCTAGATCTTGATTAGACAGTATGTAGTTCATACATGCAGGTTCCTAGGATGCTGCGTGTACGAATATGAAAACAGAATATAACACGAACAACGTATAATCTCTTACTAACCTCTTTTATGCTTTTTTTTTTTTTTGCATTGGCACCTGCTATTAATAAAAAAAAAAGAATTTTTTTTAGACGGTTGAAAAAGCCCATGATGAATAAAACTCATTATTGCAAATTAGTTTTGATTAACAGCTAATTTTTTCAAGAAAACATTTGATATTTCAGTTTCCAATTATTCGTGGATAAGCAGCTAGCCAAGAATAATTATCCACGAAGAATAATGCACTCGAATAATATCTGTTAAATATACTTAAATAGATTAATAATGCAATTTCGTATGAATTTCGTCAGTTTAAGCTGAAATTCATTTTTGCTCATTTTTTAGAGGTAATGAGTTAATTCAGGCTAAAATGGTTTGTATTGTGATCCAAGGATATTATTGTTTAACACTAAAATTAGGAAGACTTCAGTGTAGAAGAATATCATGACTTTGAAAGTAGAAAAATAAGTCCTAGTACATTTATTACTTGTATCTCGGTTATTTTTCCAACCGTGAGCATTTTTTAATTTGGACTCTTTCACTCTGCAGAAGAATTTGAATTTCCTCAAAATAGAAACATAGACTGAAAAGTTTTTTTTTTTTTTCCTATCATGATTGGAATTTTCACAGAACAAAAGTACAAAATTTTTTTATAAGCAGATTGTTCACGGCAAAATCAAGTCTTGAGTCTTGAATATACACCAAGGGTTGTTTCAAACACGTTATTAAAAAACAAAGAAAAGAAAAAGAAAATGAAGTTTACTAGAAGAAAGATCTCATCCTATTAAAAGTAGGAAGGATTCTGAAGATTTAAGTGAAAATATTGTAGCATCTTCGTTTCAGTTTTTCCATGTAAACACAATGAATTGGTAAAAGAAATACAGATCATAAAGAAAATGTTTCGTAGACTATTTCTCAAATATACAAGTTGGCAAAAACTAATTTCCTCTAAAATCTCCATTTACCTTTTCCTTTTAGTGGCAAGTCAAGCAGACATTAATTGTTACTTGTTAGATATAAAGATAATCTAATTAATATATGAAAGCTGTGGAAAAATGAGCATGCTTGGCACTTATTAAATTTTTAAGAATGTGAAGTTAAATTGTACTGAAAGTGGTTGAATCAAAGGAAGGCGATAAACAGCTGTTTAGTAAAAATTCATAAATCATAATTATTATGATTATGATTAACACATTAACGATAATCAATTTTTGTTAAAACCCATAGAGTGGTAGGGTAACTAATATTCAAGCATGGGTTTTGAATTTTTTTCCTTTTTCCTCCCACTTTTTCTTCTATTTTTTTCCGTACTCTCTCTGTTTCTTCTAGTATTTTTTTTAACTTCTTATTTTTTAACTTAAAATATGATATTTATGATAAGTAAACATTAATTCTGAACTAAAATATAATTATACACAACCTATAAAATGGGCTTATTATACCTATTATCTCATTATTCTGAATAAAATATAGAAATGCCCTTTGAGATTAAGCGAGCATACAAAAAAAAACCCCTATAATTTTAAAACGTATACTTCGATACTTTGTGATTTGAACTCGTCTAAATTAATGGGTTTGAAATACATACGATTCTTTTGAGAGTATTTGTATTGGAAACAAACAAATTTTTAATTAATATACCTGTTATACCCTTAGAGTTATAATACAGAAAAACCTCAGGTGGTTAAGCAAACCTGTAGAAAAATCTCTTATGATTTCAAATCATACAATTCAATACCTTGTAGTTTGAACTAATGTGAAAATTTGACAAAAATCATTTAAATTAAAGAGTTTGAGGTTGATTGACATGGAAATAATTTTTTAAATCAAATTTTTAGCTTATATATCTATTAAACCCCTCAGTACTCATAAAATTTTCAAAAACAACCCAAAACTCCCAAATAAAACCCTCCTTATTTCTATACATAAAATAAATAAATAAAAATTTCAAATAAAACTCACCTTATTTCTATTTGCAAAATAAATAAATAAAAACTTCCAAATTCAACTTACCTTATTCCTATGCACAAAACAAAATAAATAAAAGCAACATGTAATCATAGGGTGCTTTTCCGTAGGCTGGCTTATCGTAAGTTTGCTTAATAGAATCGTTGTTAGAAGGTCATTTATTGCTTATATATATTAGGGTACTTGTGTCATTTCGTTTGCCTTCATTAGTTTTCATGATTTTCGTCGCTATTTCAAATTAGTTCAAAGTATGAGGAGTCGAAATGTATTATTTGAAACCATATATAATGGGTTTTTCCATAAATTAGTTTAATCACAAGGGACTTTTTTGTATTTTATCCGATTATTCTTAACCAAACTATAAGAATCACTATGATTAACTTTAAAAGTCATTCCTTGGTATGAAACTCACTTACCAAACACGAATACTACATTTAGATAGCAAATTAAATGTACATTCCAATTTCCACAGGACGGCCGGTAGGAAGAAAGGAAGGAAAAATTCCATCTATGACAAAATTAGAACTGCTCGATCTAAGACAGTGACGATTGGAATCAAGACCTAAACTTTTCTCACAAGTCATTCTTTTCAACCTTATGTGAAAGAGAAGATTCAATAAGGGTTCTTCTGATGGCATCAAATCGAGGGAAAAGGGACATGGACTTCGCCATGTGCTTTGAATATAGTAAACACAACTCTTACCAATTCGTCTAGACATTATCCGTCTCCACTTGTCTACCAATTAGAAAATTTGGCAAGTCATAGAACCAATAATTTCTAGTAAAAACTGGCCGAAAAAACAAAATATTTCAAGAAAAAAATCACATCGGATGCTAATTCAACCACATGCCAGAAGGAGACACTTATTTGTACAGACTTCTGTATTTTCTTTCCTTTTTCTTAATTCACACCTGCAAGATTATGCTTTCAAGTGGAATCTAGATTAAATTCCAATTCCACATGTTGAAAACATTTTGTACTACAATATTCAGCAAGATACACGATTATCTTCTAGGTAGTCTAAAATAGTCCACTTGGGATGCCCTAACTTAGAGAACTCAATATCGTTTGTTACATAGATCCTTTCTTAGTTTTAATAGTTGTATCTTTGAACCTTGTAATATATACCATCATTAAAAAAAAAAAAAAAAAACACACACACACACACACACAAAACACGTACTCATCCTAATTTTTCTTAAAAGCTCCGGATTTCTGATTAAAAAAAATTCTTCAGATACCCATCTTTATTTTTCTTTCTAATTCAAAAAATATGTAAGAAAATTGTTACTCACGCCTACAGAAGTTGGAGTAGTTTCGAGTAGTTTAATGTTTTATGCAAATGTAATCCTTATGTCAAGATGATGTAATTTTGAATAAGTGCCAACCAAATTAAATCCTAGAGTTAAAATTCTACTCACAAAAAAGTGTATAATTTCTTTCGTAGAAAAATGTAATTTTAAATGTGCAAATTAAGTTTGACCTGTTAAGATTGCTTTCAAAAAATTAATCTTATTTTAAGACATCTAAAAAGATAAGGTATGATATTGACATTGGAATGAAGAAAACTAAGTTACAGCGTGGTTTTGGAATCCAAACTTATTTTCCCCCCTCTGTATGTAGAGGAAAAGATGTCATAGCACCCTTAAAAGTAAAATTATGCCTTTGTAATTTAAAAGCAAACATCAATGATGCCCACAGAAAAAGCAAACAGTATATGTTGTTTTATATAGACTACAATTCAGTAGCCCAAAACAAAGAAGAATCCAGCCCTGCATACTTTTATATCCAAGAGATGGTGCTGGACGGTGACTTCTTCTATCTTGCAACTTTTTTTTTTTTTTTTTTTTTGAGGAAATTCCAACTTGCAACTTGATAACAACCACCAAAATGAAACATTAATCATTAACTCCTACGAATTGCAAGCCAAATACTACGTTGGATTAACCCAAAAAAGAAGAAAGGAAATAGAGCAGCTATTGGACCATAGACTTGATATCAGCCACATAATACCCAAAGGAAGGGAAAAGTACTGCAAGCAAGAATAGCTGCCCCTCCCCCCATCTCCAAGTTTTAGAAAGTTAAAAAATTTCAAATATATTGTTTATAGTTTATACTTTTGCCTCTGAAAAGCAAAAAATATTTTAAGTCATATGATTAAGTTTAGATATACTAAACTTCACCCTCTCAAATTAAAATTCTTTTACGATTATGTATGATTTCTTCAAAATAACAAAGTTTGAATTATGACCAATAACATTTTGAGTCTTGAAAATACCTCAAATAAGTTTCTAAATATATTGTTAATAATTTATCTTTCTCTTGTTTTCAAGCCATTGATTTAGACACAAAGTTATCACATTAGAAAAGTTCTAAACAATCTATAAAATTCTAAATTTATCCGAAAATATTTTGTTATAAAGAAAGTTACTTTTACGTTTTCGAAAACAGCTCAAATGAGTTTGTAAACATACGTTTAGATATTGTGTCTGTTTCTGATATTCAAGTCTTTGGCCTATACAAATAAATTTAGAAAGTTCAAAATTCTTGAAATTAATGAAAACACCTTACATTTAGAATACCTTAAAAATACTCTTAGATTGTAATATTTTGTACCTTAAAAAAACCTATTGATATAATTTTTTCTCTTAGAACTATATTTTCACACTATATGTCTTTATTTTCAGCCTTTTAGTAATATAAGTTCACTTTTGGAACAATATATAATAGGATAATACAAGGACAATTTTCTCAATATATTTTTTTGAATTGAGTTACTAATGTTACAATGAGTTGAAAATAAGGGATGTAAGTGAGAGTTCTCAAAGTTCAAGAGTATTAAATGATAATGTCACAAACCATAGGGGAGGTTTCTGAAATTATCCAAAACAAAATTCCATCCATGATTATGTAAGATTTCTTCAAAAGAACAAATTTTGAATTATGACCAATAATTCCTTCCTTTCTTTTCAAATTCTAATCCTTTACTTGAACATGTTAAGTTTGCACGAGCACACAGTTCAATGTACGAAGAAATATTTCTCCACTGCAAAATTAGTGATTGGGAATTGTCTTTCACTCCCGACCTTGAAGACGGTCAACCCACGTGTGGCAGAAAAGTTGTCCAGCTCCGCCCACAACCTGAGAAATTTTGAGTCACTAATTTGTCCATACATTGTCTATCTTCCAATAAATCCAAATCCAAAAGACTGTTCTATGTAAACAATAATAGAGCAGTTGAAGATTAAGCTTTTCCAGTATTCTTTATTGGTCTGTGGGTTTGTTGGTTTCCCTCCTCAAAGAATACATTGCATATGACTGCTTGAAAATTATGAAGAATGTGTGTGGCTGATCATGATTCACAATGCAATCAGATCTGGAAGTTCCGTGGGGATCTCTTAAGCATCTCAAAATTGAAAATAGTAACATATCACTAGTATTTTACACATAATTCAGGCGGAGAAAGAACGTTCTCGTTGACGTATGAAAATCAAAAGGTTTTGGATTCAACATATTCTCTTCTAGTCATTTAGTGCGTTGCATTCATGATATAAGAATTGAGGGATTCAAGGCCTCACGAGCTGAATTCTATCCAGTTGTGTAATTCTTACTACATTTGGTGTAAATTGGTACAATTTCAATGTAATCGTGAACTTAGTCATATGAGTCCACAAATTTAAATTTACATCTAAGATATACGAGTTTATATAAAAAGTTGTAAGAACTACACGAATAAATTTGAACTGAATAGAATTCAACTTGTGTGCCTCCGTTTCCGAAACTGAGAGGCAAATGTAAGCATGTTTAGAAGTTTTGGAGTGGATTTGCTGACTAGGTGGATAATGTCATGACATGGGGAAATTGCTAATTGTTCAATCGTATTTAAAAAAAAAAAAAAAAAGGAAAAGGCAAATGGACTTCTACCTTTCATTCCCATGACAACCTGGGTGAAAATAATTTTATTTTCATTGCAATAGAAGATAGGGACGCCCTTGTCTTTTTATGCGATAAAGGACATCGAGGTGTGTAACAATAGCAAATTATGGATATTGGATTGAATGAATATTCTTCTATTGTATTTTCATGCAAAAAGGAGGCAAGAGAAGTCTATGATCCTTTTAGGCAACTTTTGGTTTTCTTAAAGTTCTAGATGGTAATAAATATATTCCTCCCTGAAAAAATAAATCAATTTTGGCCCGACTTGTGTAATTCTTAAAGTTTTATTTTGATAGATGAAAATTAAAAGCCTGAAATAAAAATCACATTTGCAGGAAGTTTTCAATTTTTGTGAATATAACTCTCCTTTTCTTCCTTTTAGGAAAGAATAAAAACTCTTTTTTTCCATATAATTTTGTAATCAAGAGGGGAGATCCCCAAATGTTGCAGAAAACAGAGGAGAGATTTATTTAATTTTTCCTTTTTTTATTTTGTTTAATTACATGAAACAAAGGCCTCCAAGGATGGGCCAATACACCTCGTCTAAGTTGATGAAACCCAATGACTAAGACCCATTGCAAGAAGTCTTAAAATAGTGCTCAAACCCAACAGAAGAGAACTCGGCCAACTATGTGTTTATTGGGAATGAATCCCACCTACTTCTTGCTTCCCTCTGGTTGTTTTGTGGCAGATGGCGAACTCCTTTGTTCGTTTAATTTCTCTTTTTTATTTCATTTTTTTCCCTCACAAAGACGAGTTCGTCCCATTATACTAAATAATTTTAGCTACTTTGCAAGTAGTATGTATCGTATCTTATTTTGATTGATGTTTTTCCATTTTATTTTGATAATGTCATTACTTTTTGATTCAATTTAAAATGTCAAATTAAATGTCTACAATTTAAAACTTTTTCAAAAAAAAAAAAATGTATATTTACACTTGCTACCTTCAAACAATGAGTGTTACAAAACCAGACCAGTACTTAACGACACACTTTATTTGGGGGAGGAATGAGTTGAGCTGTTCGGCGAGAAAGAGTGTAAATAAGAGACCCCGTGTTCTACTTGCACTGTAATAAAAAAAAATGACACGCTTTATAATGTTCACATGTATATGTTTATACGTGAAAATGAAAATAATTAATGCAGATAAAATTAATTTAGTCAACTAATCAACGTAGGCATAGGTGGATTTGTATATAAAATATTAAATGGCAAATAATATTTGTTCGAACAACTAATATAGGAAACCAGATTCCTCTCAAGTCAGAAATACTTGGGCCGGGTCATATCATATATCAATAACGCTACAAGAATCACGACACAAGAATTGAACTGGCTTGCTTCATTGTCCTTAATACTAGATCTGGTTCTTTGACCACATACATTATTGACCAAAATCTTGCACGAGTCACGTTGCCTAATGTCTTTCAATTGGTTCACTCACGCTGGAAAAAAATAGTAACTATTGACGTGCTTAGAGTTGGTTACCTGAAAAAGTTCACAATTTGTCATACATTTTGAGTCTTATTGTGTTTGAAATATAGTGAATTTATTTGTTATTGGTGCTTGAACCTCATTGCCTTCTCATTTTTTTTTCTGTCCTTTTTTTGATGGCAAATCGCATAATCGGAGGGAGAGATGTAAATTTTAAATTTTATCAAATAAAATAATAAAGAATAAGGGATATATACCAAGCCTTCGATACAAGAATGATGCATCATTACAAGATAAATAAGGAATACTTCTTCCTTACAGAAGTTGAACCTTGTTGCCTTCTTATAAAGATAAAGGTGGAAGTTGGCATCTCCGGACCAAGAAATTGAACGAATACATGATGCTGGCTTGCGAATTCTAATTGAACCGCCTGAATATGTTAGGGAGGTTTGGAATTTTGATGTAATGGGGATATCTTGTAATGAGCCTTTGGCCATCTAACGTATTAAAAAAAATGGAGAAATAGATGATTTTGTTTAATTACAAAGTCAAATGAAGAAATTCTAGACGAAGCTTCAAAATTTCAAACATAAAACTCAAAAAAATGGTGATTGGATTATGTAAAAGTATAATAGCGCTTTACAACTTGGCCAATTAATTACCTCCTTTTGTCTAAAAAAGAAACATAAAATGGACTATTCTTTGCTCCGTACATGACTTGTCAATTGTCATTTTGTACTTATCATATGCAACTATGGCTAATTGGAGCCAACTTTATCCAAAATTTTTTATTATAAAAAAAATCCGATCATAGTTAATATTCTTCAATCAAAATTTTTTTTTTTGTTTTCTCACTGTCTCAAATTCTACAAAGCAATCACCCAACCCTTCATCAGAGGAAATCCAATTTTCACAAAGATCAATATATCAAATGGAAAGGAGCACGAAAAACCATTTTGTTCTTGTTCATGGGATTTGCCATGGTGGTTGGAGCTGGTGCAAACTTGTTACATTGTTAAAATTGGCAGGTCATCAAGTCACTGCATTGGACCTTGGTGCATGTGGAGTTCATCCCAAAAGGATTGAAGAGATTGCTTCAATGTCTGATTATGTGAAGCCATTGATGGATTTCATGGCCTCCCTACCTGATGAAGAAAGGTTTGCGTTGGTTGGCCACAGTTATGGTTGCCTATGCATTTCTCTCGCCATGCAGAGTTTTCCTCAAAAGATTTCAGCGGCTGTTTTTGCTTCAGCATCTTTGGCCCATTTCAAAGAACCGCCTGTAGTTTTCATTCAAGAGGTGGTCAATGAGAACGTAACAAAATTTGCATTTTCTTTTGTGTTACTGCCATCTACTGAGCAGGAGTTTTTCTTTTTTTTGGTGGTTTTGACGTTTGAATAATTTGGATTGCAGTATTTCAAGAGAATACCAATGGAGGCTGTTATGGACGGCTAGTTTACATTTGATCAGGGTGATGGAAATCTGCCATAGTCAGTTGTCCCTGTACCACTCTCTGTCCGTTGCGTATTAATCCCTTATCATTAATTTTAACTATCGTCTGAATTAATTCCAATAAAAGCCCTCTAAATCATGTGAAATGCATGAATCGACGCTTCCAAAATTCATTTTCTTTTTAATTTCTCCGTCCATATTTTATCGTCCAATCACCTTAAACATTAATTAATCCGTCACCGGTTTATTTGAATCAACTTTATTTTTATCCCTCTTACAAACTTTGTTAAGAGGATGGTCTTGCAAATTTGTGGTGCAACTGTGAAAATGATCATTTCTCAATAGGAGATTTTAGGGTCAATTTACAGAATGTGTATTTTGAAGCATAAAGGGTTTATAATTTAAGTTGAAGGGCTCAATCAAAATATTTGCATGTTATGGTGAATCGAAGAAAATATTTGTCCTTGCACTATGGTCAAATTATAATTTACTTTTTGTAAAGTCCCTACTAATTGATTGAAATTGATCAGTTGCACAGATAAATGACACGACCAATTAAACTTAACTACTGAACCAAATAACTTTTTGCACACTAACTGTTGAAAAGTATACAAAGTACTAAAATTCTGACCATTAAGCTGGTCGACTAATAGGTGGATGTCCAACCCACATAGTGCTACTGCCATAGGGCTAGAAATTTGACTCTCACCCGCCAATCCAATCAACTAAGGATCAAGAAAAAGTAATAGAATCTTGTGTGCCATCATAATACATTAATACAAACCATTTAAACTTTGGTCAACTAAGTCATGATTAATTACTTTTAGAATGGTAATTACAGATAGAAAAGGACTATGCAATTTGATAGAATGGTCACCTATATCGGCGTACAATGTATGTGAAAATAGAAAATCCTGTCTAAAGAGATTGTACTATTCAAATATGTCAATCTTTAATCCAGAACGTAAAGTTAATACAACAAATGTAGACATAAAATACAATAAAGACAGATATTGATACGATGAATGCGGAAACAACATAGATGTTCATGATTTTATCTGTCTTAACATGCCTTTGGTCACATCAGACTAATATGCTTGTATATACATTTTGCACACTAGACTGAACTTTGATTTTATTGGTCGCGTTTCACTGATTAATTTACTATTGCATGCATGACATAGAATTAGCAAAGATGTTGGTCAGACCACATCCTTTCTTTATAGAGGACATGGCAAAGATTCAGAATCTTTGCCAACAGATGAAAAGTATGGTTCAATTAAAAGGGACTTTGTGCTGTGCGAAGATGACCAAGTTGTTGGGGAAAGAATTTCAGAGGTTTATGATCGAACATAGCCCTCCTGAAGAGGTGAAGTCCACAGCTGGATCCGGTCGTATGATCATGCTGTCAGAGCTCAGGAACTTTATCAGTATCTACAAGAAGTTGCTCAGAAATATGGTTGAACTTGTTTTTTTTTTTTTTTTTGTCCAAAAAAGTACCTGAACCCACTTCAGGCTCCGACCCTTATTTGAATTGTTAGATTTTTTTTCATTTTTGTGACAAAGTCGAACTCTGGTGAATGCTCTAACTAGAGGCTACATCACCAAATCGACTACCTGGAGGTCAGATTGAACTTGTCAGTCGAACAAAAAATGATGCTAATGAATCTAGCGGAAAACCAATTCTTTGTACTACTATACAACCACACTAGTGGTCAGGATGAACTAGTGATCAATATTGGACTGTGTTGTCATGTTAGAGCAAACTTCAAGAAATGGTAAAAAGCAGAAAATTAACTTCGATATGTGTGACCTTTTTTTTTCCCCCTTCAAAATAACCAATGCCCCACCCAAAAAGAAGGGATAGTATCTATCGAGCCAGTTAATTAAATGGATTGGACCTTCACAAATTAGAGATTCTGCGCATCAAATCATCTGTCTGGAATTTTGTCTCTAATCTGTCTTTATTTAACTATCACGTATATTGTACCGTTGGACTTATTTCCAATAGAATTCTAAGAGTCATTGATTGTTGGACTTATCATAATAAAATTCTTAGAATTATTAATCAATGCACGTGACAATTAAGCAGGGACAAAACAAACATGACAAAAATGAAATTCAAGACAGACGATTTCAAGGGAAAGTTCTAGATTCAAATTCCCTGTCCCTTCCCCGTTTTTTAAGTCCCACCCTTCTAAAAAATTAAAAAGCCTGTCAGTCCCGGATTGAATCGTCATTAAGCATGCGTAGTCTAATTAACATTTGGGCATCTGAAAAAAAAAGGGATATGGGTCAGTCCGCTATTAAGCATGTGTAGTCTAATTATCATTGGGCATCAATCTGCACCCGGGCTTGAAAGTTAAAACTGGGCTCTCTTGTCGAGCATCCTTTTTCTTCTTGCTAGATTATCCAACAGTTAGAGACTATTCAGGGGAAAGGGAAAATAATTCATTTTATTTGCAGGAATTTATGATGCGTAAGGTTCTGGCGTAATTTCTTGTCATCACCTAATAAAAAAATTTCTCATGGATAGATCATAGAAGTTGATATACAATGGATTTTAATCTTCAAAAATATCCATAAGGCCTTGAATATTTTGCTAGTAGCTGTCATATTTCTTCTGCATTATTAATTCTGTAAAATCTGTCGATTCAATCAGATGGTATGTGTTGAATAAAAATATTTTGAAATTAAAACTATCCCTTACAGATTTTGAATTATCAATTGGATTCATTTATTCACATGATTTCCGAAATGGTAAGTCCCTTCATTGAATGTACTCAGAAAATAAGAATAATGTGATTGAAGCTCCGCTCCTAGCTCCACATCCAGGCGAAAGAGCATCAATTTTTAAAGATGGCTTCGCCTCTAGCATTCACTAGATAATGGACTTTTTTTTTTTCTTATCTTTCCATTCCTCGCTACGTGCTCTCTATCCCTAACTGTTAGGCATAAGATTTGAATTTTGAACTTGACGGTGGAAAAGATTCTAAGAGCCCTCCCTGATCACCGGGACGATCCAATGGTGTTAGATAATGGATTATTTAATATTAATGAATATGATAGAAGAGAAATAGCAATTATACTAAATAAATGCATTGGTGGTACAACTCTGAGTCTCATTCCCTGTTTGGTTGAACAATTAAGACAATTCATTAGCAACGTTATTAAGGATAATTACAGTCAAATGAATGAGTCAAAGTGGAGAAGAAATCTTTTGAGATTTGACACGGTCACTTATTGTTAGATAATCTACCAGGCGCAAAAGATAAGAGCAAGAATGGAATTAAGTTGCCAAACATCTTGGATGTCAATATCCTACCTTATATGGATTAGGATTTCATTGCTTGCATTTTCTGTCACAGAACAAAGTAGGGATTAGACTACATGCCAAATAGAAAACTGTAAGAAGTTAAAGTTAATTATATGTTATTTTAACTTTTAAGCATTACTTAGTGGTTGCAACCTCTGATTTCTTAGGTAAACATTACTACTTCAATACGGCACTACTTTTTGGTCCTTGATATTTTCAAGGACACCAATGGCTTTGTAGCCTTTAGACTCTGCTTTTAATCGTTTTTTTTTTTTTTTTTTGCCGTACTTCGCTCCAATCATTGAAGTAATTATTGGAAAAGACAGAGAACTTTTTTTTTCAAGGACTCAAATTTGTAAAGTTATGGAGTACTACGTAAATTGTCCCTTTTCATGTTTATACTTACAACTGAAGAAACGAAATGATTTTCAATAAACTTAGTGCGTAAGCATCTAAAAGATGTATTCGAGAAACGGCCAACTATTATGCCAATTGTTCATTTTCAAAGTTCACACACTTTAGAAAAGCAAGGTGGAATCTATCACAGAAAATAATGCTCAATTATTGTCTAGGGTTAACTGTAGTAAAAGACCCGAAAAAATTATATATCTGTAGAATTCAACTCCAAAATTGAAATGATTTCGCATAAATTTATCGATTATCAAATATTATATAAATTCTCAAAAAAAAAAAATATATGAAGGTATATGAACGACTGATCTTACAAAATTTAGAAATTCTTCTTTTAAGAAGTTCTTGACTACAACTTTCTAATTTCTATATGTTTTACACCTTGTGATGAATATTTTATGGGTATTTCAAGGAGAAAACATTATTCAAAACCCGCATAATAGAAGAAAGGCGTTGTTGTAGGAAGGCTTTTTAGGAAGCTCTAGCTTAGTTGTAGTAATTCCCAAGCATATTGCATAAGTTATGATTCCCAATTTGCTGGGATTAGAAGCAATATACAATTGTAAGACTACATGGTAATGAAAATTACCCTAAACGTATATATAAAGAATTCTCAAATCTCCATAACCAAGTAGTATGATTGGATTCAGCTGGAAGGCATCATTATGAATCTCCCTTGGACTCACAAGCAAAAGGACAGATCTAGCAGAAAGTGATGTTTTAGCAAATCTTAGGTGACACATGTCAAAATAATCATGATTGCTTATCCAAAAAAATTATGAAACAATCAAGAACCGAGAATAATGCCTTTCAATGCAACTGAACTTGTGAATCTTGTGTATGTGATGTCTCACATGGGTCTCAGCACAATTTTACAGTATGTTTGGTTGAAATTTTTGGCATTGGTCTTGTTCCATTATTAATTGTTTGGTAGCAAGATGCTTTTCCAAAGTAAATTGCTCAATTTCTAGCTTACGGGCTTCTTTTTTTCATTATTTCCACAATAGCCCTTTTTCTCAAGTGACACAATTGTTTTACTCAACAACATACAAAATTTTCTTGAGTTAAATTATGACAGTTGATAGGCTTTTTCGAGGGATAGATGACTGATAGAAACTTTTTCTAAAGTCTAGCATATGCTACCCTTATACTTATTATATATGTTGTAGTGCTATTTTGATCATCAACACCGTCTGTAAAAGAAACAAAGAAGTGTAACGAAATATATAAGAGAATAATCAAAACTAGATCTCTAAGCTACCCAAAAGAGAAAAAA